CCCAAGAGGAGCCACTTTTCATCCAGGTCACACAAACTCATGAACAGAAAGCCAGCAGGTGGCGGAGGAAACGCACTATTTATTTACAACTCATTCACTTTATCCACAATCCCCCATACAAACATAAAAACTAAAAAAATAAAACCACCACTTGGGAACACAAGTGTCTTTTTTTAATTAGTCTGGGTGAGGGAGGGCCACGCACCCTCTCCCTTGGAAGGAGACTACTGAGGCACACCAAAGGGCAAAGGGCAAAGGGCAAAGGGCAGGAGCAGGAGCAGGGGAGGAAGAATGCCTGAGAAACAGCTCCAGCAGGAAACCTAACTCCCTAACACAGTGGGAAGGTGTGACCTGCAGGCAGCACTGGCAAGGGCATTCAAAGGGGTCACCCTGAGGCCAGTTGCTGCCTGGCTTCCCAAGAGGATGGTGTGGGCTGGCTCCCATTCCCCTCATCCCCACTCTCCATTACGAAACACCAAGAGTTGAGTATGGGCCACATACCTCAGGAGCTGTGTAGGGTATTATGGTGATAGTAGGGGACACCTAATGCCACTCTCTGGGGAGAGCCCCCCTCCCCAAGGACACACAGGAATCCCCTTCTTTTGGCACTGACTCATCAGCCAGCTTCTGCCCTGAACACAGGGCTGACTTAAACACAAAGGCTGGGGCCACAGGACCTGTAGGAAAGGCTGCTGGGGGCGACGGAAGGGGAGGGTGGGGGTTCCAAAAAGGCCCAAGGAGGGGCTGGAAGAAAGGGGAGGAGAGAGGAACGTGGTTGCTGGCGGGAAGGCCCTGCTGCTGGCCCCACCCCTCCAGCTGACTGCCAGGCCCCAGGCCCCACCCCTAAGCTGCCCACCAGGCAGCTTCATCTGTGCTAGTGACCTAGATTGCTTTCACATGTCAATGCACATTATAAATATAAAATCATATCTGCTACAAAGAGGACTCATATTTATACATCTTTACCCATATACATAATAACACAATTTACACATAATATCTTGGAGTGGGTCATCATGGAAAAAGGATTTGGAGAGGTAAAACAGAATAAAACAATAAAGCAAAACAAACCCTTCTCCCTTCCCTGCCCCATCCTTTAAGGGACATTGGATGCTTGGTCCCTAGGGCCTTTCCCAACTGGTTCTGATGGGCTAGTCTGGATACAGAAATTCATACGAAATCCAATGGGCCTATACACACACGTATGCACATAGAAGAACACACACGTGAGCACGCATACACACACATGCACACACGTACGTACTCACATAGACAGATAACTGGTGAGGAAAGGAAAGTAAATCCCTAGCCCTTGGGTGTAGGTCTCTCCCCAGGGTTGTGAGCATAGTGTCCTCTCCACTTGAGAACCAAGGTCTCACAAGGCCACCCTTCCTGGCTCAGCTAGGGTAGGCGAGGGGAAGGTGGGGAACGAAAGGGGGGGGGTCTTTCAGTCTTCTGAAAACATACATAAGGCGTCTCTGACCTGGGACCAAATCAAACTGTGTCTCAAAAAGCAACAGTGCCAGAGCCCAATACCCACCCCGTGCCTTGGGCATGTAAGAAAAGTTGTGGTTTTTCCTGTTCAAAAAAAAAAAAAGAAAAATAACAACAATCTGGTCCTGGAGGCCAGAGCCAGCAGGTGCATGTAGGAACAGTGAGTTCAGACCCTGAGCCTCCCCTTCTGTCCAGCCTCCTTTGAAGGGGAAGACAACCCTGTACCTCCTTTTCTGCCCTCTCCCAAGGCTGGGCCCATCCTCATGGCACGGAATACTGACAGTGGTCCAAAAAATACATCCAGACATGGAGTGGTGGATGTTGTAAAGTTAAGACCTGGGCGGCGGGGGTGAGCTTTGTACAGCAGGAGTGGTTCCTGGGCGGGGTCCACGGCTCCCACAGTGGCCACAGTGATCAAATTGCCATCAGAGATGGGGGCAGCCTGGGTCCCCGGGGGAAGACAGCACCTATCGGCGGTAGTGGTTGGGGGCATCGGCGAACATGTACTTGAGTCTGTATGCCTCAGCCAGCAGCAGTCCGATCTCCTCATTGCCCCAGTGTATCGTAGGCAGGTTCTGCAGCAGCATGAGGAGGCCCTGAGGGGAAAGAAAGGCCTTTCATCTCTTTCCAGGCTGTGGCCCGTGGTCCAGAAGACCCTTGGTTAGAGGGCCTGGAATGGGGCCCCTCCAGGACACATGCCCTCCGAGGTCCAGCCTTCTGTCTCCCAAACAGCAAACAGCCCTTACCCCCCATGTTCAACCCAGGAAGTCCTGAAAAGCCCACACAGGTGGCTGTCTCAAGAAACAAGGTGAGTAGCTACCTGAGAAATGACCCCTGAGGTTGACCTCTGGCTTCTACATGCACACATACATGTGCATATGGACACACAGACAGACAGACACACACAAATAGTCCTAACATACAAAACTCAGAAGGTATGAAGCTTACTTCTCACAGTAATAACTTTCCCCTGAGTCTGTCTTTGTCTTAAAGTTTCTGTACAGTTTATTTATTTGTATTTACTTTGAGACAGGGTCCCATATAGTTCTCAGCTGTCCCATGTAGGAACTCACTATGCAGACCAGGTTGGCCTGCCTACGATAGACTTGCAGCAATTTTTTTCTCTCTGTGTGTCTTGCTGTAGTACGAGTGTCACCAACACTCCCAGCTCATATGGCTGTTTTAAAAAATATTTTGATAACCTGGGGCTGGAGAGATGGCTCAGCAGCCAAGAGCACTGGCTGTTCTTATAGAGGACCCAGGTTCAGTCATCCATATGGCAGTTAACAATCACATGTAACTCCAGTTCCAGGGGATCCAGTGCCCTCTTCTGGTCTCTTCAAGAATTACACCCACATGGTGCACTTACATACATGCAGGCAAAACACTCATACACATAAAACAAAATAAAAATTTTAAAATAAATAAAAATCTTTTGATAACAATACTGTATATTTTATGTACATAAACCTTTATTCTGAGAAGGAGCCTCAGGCTTCACCAGAGAGGCAAAAGAATAAAAGGTACAGAAAAGATTAAGACCTCTAACTAATGTCCAAATGAGAATAAAGTTGACTCCTTGAGAAGGCTGACAAAAAGATGAGTCACCTTCTCCAGATTGTATGGGATCAAGGGAAGGCTGTAGGAGGCAGGGGAGAAGGGTCAAAGGAACCAGAGACCAGACAGTTTACCCTAGCTGTAGTCTAAGATCAACACTGAGAAAATAGGAGGCTAGAGGGCTGGCTCAGGGGTTAGGAGCACATACTGCTCTTGCAGAGGACCCGAGTTCAGTTCCCAACACCTACACTGGCAGCTCACAACTGCCTGTAACTCCAGCTTTGGTAGATCTGATGCCTCTGGTCTCTGTGGGGACCTGCACTCATGTATACAAACCCACACACAGACACATACACATGTGTATAATTAAAAGTAATAGCTGGGCATGGTGGTGCATGCCTTTAATCCCAGCACTTGGGAGGCAGAGGCAGGCGGATCTCTGTGAGTTCAAGGCCAGCCTGGTCTACATAGTGAGTTCCAGGACAGCTGGGGCTACAGGGAGACCCTGTCTCAAAAAGACCAAAAAAAAAAAAAAAAAAAAAGCAATAAAAAAAAAATCTTAAAAAAATAGTTTGAGAAGGAGCACAGCCTGCATTCCTAGCTATTGGGAAGGCTAAGCTGGGAAGACTGTTTGGGCCAGCCTGGGCAACACGGCAAGACCATGGCTCAAAAATTTAAAAAAAAAAAAGTTTTTAAAGACTTAAATAAGTATGTTGAGAATATGATGGTTCAACAAAACAAAACAAAAAACAACAACCCCCCAATCCACCCATACTGGGGATGTAGCTCAGCTGGCCAAATGCTCGCCTTACACACATGAAACCCTGAGTTTGATCCCCAGCACCACAGAAATCCAAGTGAGGTAGGCAGCACACACCTGTAATTGCAGCACTCTGGAGATAGAGCAGGAGACTTAGGGAGACCCTGTCTCAAATAACCAAACCACAAACCCCCAATGACAAAAACAATTTAAAAAAACCCAATCAAAATACACCCCCAACAACAACAAACCTAAACCAAACCCAAAATACTCCCTCCTCCCACAACAGACCAAACCAAACGTATGCCATAAGGCCCTTGGTTCACCCCTAGCATTGTAAAAACAACCACAAACAAAATAAAAAACAAATGCATAATATTTACTTCTGCATAGTAAGATTTCAGGTCCCCTATTTTTTTAAAGGGTCTCACTATATAGCCCAGGGTGTCCTGCAACTTGCTATGCAGACCAGGCTGGCCTCAAACTCGCTTGCCTCTGCTTCCAAAGTGCTGGGATTAAAGGTGTATACCACCATGCTCAGCCCCTATTTTTCTTTAAATTAAAAAAAAAATTTTTATTTTGTTATTTTTATTTTATGTGTATGCACGTATTGCCTGCATGTAAGTAAGTGCACCCACATCGTGCAATATCCGTGGAGGTCAGAAGAGGCTGTCGGATCCCCTGGGACTGGAGTTACGGACAGTTGTTAGCTGCCATGTGGGTGCTGGGATTCGAACCCGGGTCTTCTGCAAGAACAACCAGTGTTCTTAACTGCTGAGCCATCTCTCCAGCCCTTTTTTTCAATTAAAAAAAATTTTTTAATCATTTTTATTTTATGTTTATCAGTGTATTACCTACATGTGTGTAAGTGCACCTGTGCTGTGTAATGCCTGTGGAGGTTATATTAGGATGTTGGATCTCCTAGAACCAGAGTTACAGATGGTTGTTAGCCACCATGTGGGTCCTGGGAATCAAACCCAGGTCCTCTGCAAGAGCAGCCAGTGCTCTTAACCACTGAGCCATCTCTCCAGGCCCTAAAATTTTTTTTTCTTAACCGCTATGGTGGGGAGGGCATTCATGCACCATGGTGCACTGCAGTGGAGGTCTGAGGACAACTTGGTTCACTCCTTCCACCGTGTAGATTACTGAATCTGAACTCAGGTCATCAGGCTTGGCCACAAGTGCCTTTATTCACTGAGCCATCTCACCACCCCACTTCCTTTTTTTTCCTTACTGGGATTTCCCAATATTTCTATCATGATTACAAAGTTTTGTGTAACTTGTAAAGAAAAACAACCAACGGGGGGGGGGGGAGCGCAGAAGAGACTATAGTTTCTGGGATGGGTACTGCTTATGATTTCTAATCCTCCTAGCTTTAACAGAATGTTTCCAGAAGCTTCTGAATAAAATCTACCCCTGGTCAAGCTCACACCCCTCTTCTCTCAAGGAAAGTGAGGTTTAGCTGGAAAGAACCACTCTGCCACCTGGTGGCGGAGCCTAGGAGCTGCAGCTTCCTGCATGTCACTGGCTCCCTACCCTACTGTGGAGCACGGGTGGGGGGGGGGGGGGTTAGAAGACCTGTCCAACAGACAAGGATGGAGAAACTGATTAAGCAGTCAGGGGATGAAGGTGCTGGTTACAAATCAAGAGCTCTTAGCCAGGGAGGAAGAGATGCTGCAGGGCAGGTGAAGACTCCCCACAAAGCAGTTCACAGGAGTGTTAAGCAGGGCATGTAGTGAGGCCAAGGATCACAAGAGACAGTCGGGAGGAGAAGCTGGTCTGTAGGACTCACAATGAGGGGAGCAGGCAATGGTATCTCAAGAGAAAAAGCCAGAGAACTGCAGAACAGGGCTGGATCCAGGCACCTGATGGGAACCAGAAGCCTAAAAGGGAAAGGTGAAGGGGCAGAGAGGGAATTGGAGGTGCGTCTAAGGGGTGAAAAAAAACCCAACCAGACAAAAGGCCAAAGGTACAGATGGTTAGTACATAATGTGCAAGGGGACTCTGAGAAGGGAGAGGTACAGGGAGAGCTCACTGGAGAATGTTTAAGGGAACAATTAGAGGGAACATCGAGGATATTATTAATAATGGCAGTGAGCACTTACTGCATACCAGATGGGGCTCTAGAAACTTTACCCATACCTTTGTATTGACTTACTTAATCCTCAAACCATCTATTGATGTATATTGTTAGCTCCACTTAATAGATGAAGAAACTGAGGCAGGGAAGCTTGGCCATTTGCCCACGGCCACAGAGCAGTTCTGGGCTGAGACGTCAACCTAGACGCTCTGGCTCAAGGGCTTGTGCCCACAATCACCATCCTGCACAGCCAGCCCAGGGCAGGGAGAGAAGCAAAAGGCAGTACAAGCCTTAGCAGGGGCTGACTGAAGGGCGCCCCAAAGGGTCGGTTCACAGACAAGGTGATGAAGGCCAGTGTACCAGAGGCACGGAAGAGCAGACGGACTTAAAAGCTGGCACAAACTATACGACTACACAAGGCATTGTACAGAGAATCACTTTGTATATAAACATGCTCTTTGTGAATATCCAGTGGATTCAGGCATGTAGCGTACCTTCCCAGTCAGGTAAGGACCTGAGGATGAGCATCGACTCTGAGATTCGGTGAGGCAGCACACCTTTACTGGTCTCAGTGTAACTTCAAAACCCTGCCCTTTCTATAAACTTTCTGAGTCAAACTTGTACTTGCTGGTTTCTCTGGTGCCAAAGTGCCTAGTGCAGCTGGAATATCCTCCACTCAAAGCTGTGGGCCTTTCCTTAATGGCTTCTTTTTGTTTACAGGTCTAGGAACTGTGCCCTTTCTCACGACAGCATGTTTTGGGTTTCCAGGGTTCCCATCAAACCCTCCTTATGGGCAGGATTCAAATTGGCATGTCACCAAATGTCTGTGAATGGGACCTGCACTTGGGCAGCGTTCCACAATTATACCCTTGAGTTCCTGGTCAAGTCATGGATGGCTGCCATCGGGTCAAGGGATCTATTTACTTGAACTTCGTGGCTGAGGCCTGGAAATTCCCCAGACTTGCACTACTTCACTTAATAATTCTGACCATCCCAGCCTGGGAGTGCGTGCCTGTAATCCCAGCCCGGGGAGTCGGGGAGGGGGATGGTGGGGTGGCGGTAGTGGCAGAAGGAGGAGGACAAAGAGTTCAAGGTTTGGGGCTGGAGAGATGGCTCAGCAGTCAATAACACTGACTGTTCTTGCAGAAGACCTGGGTTCGAATCTCAGCACCCACATGGCAGCTAAAAACTGTCCATAA